CTGTGTGTGGGTGTGTGTGTGTGGGTGTGTGTGCGTGTGTGGGTGTGTGGGTGTGTGCGTGTGTGTGTGGGTGTGTGCGTGTGTGTGTGGGTGTGTGGGTGTGTGCGTGTGTGCGGGTGTGTGCGTGGGTATGTGCGTGTGTGTGCGTGTGTGTGGGTGAGTGCGTGGGTGTGTGGGTGTGTGCATGTGTGTGGGTGTGTGCGTGTGTGTGCGTGTGTGTTGGGGGTGAGTTTGTTGTGTGAGTGATGCTGGGCTGAGCGTGTGTGAGAGAATCTGGGTTCGTGCCGGATGACCCTAGTAGCACAAGTATCTACACATGTGGTAGCTACTACATTACACATGTAGTAGTAGCTACTACTACATGTGTAGTAGCTACACATGTAGTAGTAGCTACATATGTAGTATGTGTGTAGTAGCTACTATATGTAGTATCTACATATGTAGTAGTAGCTACACGTGTAGTAGCTACGAGACCCGTACTTTCAAGGGCCCCGCGCTAAACGCTTTCAAGCTATCAATTCCGGTTCAGTGATTCTGCACTTGCTCTACTACTATAGTACTATACCGCCTTCAACTTTTATGAACGACTGGGTGTTTAAAATGAGCGATTTGTCGTATTACCTGGGCTTTATAGCAAATAAAACAAATACAATTACTTTATTGTGCAAGGAGAACATTGACGTGTTTTAATATATAAGTGTCTTTTTATTATTATTTAGGGCCCCTTCGTAACATTTGCTACAGGCCCCGCACTCGCTTCACCCGGCACTGGTCTGGGTGTGTGGCGTGCGACTGTGTGTGTGAGACAAAGGGGTGAGCGGTAGTGTAGCCACAAACCCGGCGACCCGGGTTCGATTCCCGCTCACGGCCAACACCGGTGACGATTATCTGAACCGGTCCTGGGCATCCTCCCCTAGGTTAACTGAGCCTCAAACGAGCACCTGGTGCGGTGCTTAAACAACCCCACTGGGGGAGACAAAGGCGTCCGGGGATGGTGCTGGCCACCCACCCCCTCGTGTGCCGTGCCGGCCTTCATAGGTGCTCGCTAACAGCACTTGCCCCTACAGTCTGTTACAGGCTACACGGGGGACCTTTGTCTTTGCTGTGTGAAAAATAGCTTGATAGCTCATCGGATTCCTCCAGTGATAATGAAATATCGCGATGTTTTGATTACAGCTGACGGCCAACACCCGTGACGATTGTCTGAACCGGTCTTGGGCATCCTCCTCTAGGTCAACTCAGCCTTAAATGAGTACCTGGTGCGGTGCTTAAACATCGCCACTGGTTGGAGACAAAGGCGGCCGGGCGTGGTGCTGGCCACCCACCCCTTCGTGTGCCGTGCCGGCCTTCATAGGTGCTCGCTACTAACAGCGGTACCATGAACCCATGAACCAGTGCCCAACGTTTTACGTTGGTCACGGGAATTAGGCACGGGCGCAGCCCCTGCAATTGCTTGCTAGCGCCGCTGTTTGGAGGAGGGTTTCGGAGAGGGGGTCTCCCTTTCGTGTGTACGCGCGTCGCAGAGACGAGCGGCTGGGCGCAGTAACGCCACTGGGTGTAGCGAGACTCTTGATGTTTTATTGTTGTTACCCGGTAAGGTCCCGGGGTCACTGAAGCTACGTAGGAGCTCTTTGTCAGAAGCGACCTGGCTATCGCCAATCAACGCTCCACGAAGAGGGCCTTCATGATGTGGAAGTGTATCGCATACTATACACTACACTATACACTACGCTATACACTACACTATACACTACACTATACACTACGCTCTACACCACGCTATACACTACACTTTACACTACACTATACACTATACACTACGCTATACACTAAACTATACACTACACTACTATACACTACACTATACAACTATACACTACACTACTATACACTACACTATACACTACGCTCTACACTACGCTATACACTACACTATACACTACACTTTATATTACACTATATACTACACAATACACTACACTATACACTACACTATACACTACATTATACACTATGCTATACACTACACTATACACTACACAACTATACACTACACTAATATACACTACGCTATACACTACACTTTATACTACACTATTCACTAGATTATACACTACACTATACACTACGCTTTTCACTACACTTTATACTACACTTTACACTACACTATACACTACACTTTAAACTACAATATACACTACACAATACACTACTATACACTACGCTATATACTGCACTATACACTACACTCTACACTACGCTATATATTACGCTATACACTACACTATACACTACACTATACACTACTATACACTACACTATACACTACACTATACACTACACTATACACTACTACTATACACTACACTATACACTACACTATACACTACACCAGTGGTTCTTAACTTGGGGTGCACGCACCCCCTGGGGGTGCGAGATATGGCCAGACTTTTCTTTAGAAGGTAAATCATTGAGACAGAAATTAAGCACGTGCAAAGCTGCAGTAAAAGATAAGAACCATAACTGTAAACACGTGGTGTTTCTAAATGTGGAGGGGAAAACCGGAGGTCCCGGCCACAAATCCACGCGATTTGTCTACGAGAGAGAGAAACGCAAACTCCAAATATACCGCAGCAGGCGTCAGGGTCAGGATTTAACCCACGACCTCCTGTATACCAGGCGAGGTAGTTAACATCTCCTAGCCACCGTGATGAAGAGAGAGAGAGACACGCAAACTCCAAATATACAACAACGGGCGTCAGGGTCGGGATCAAACCCACGACCTCCTGTAGACCAGGCGAGGTAGTTAACATCTCCTAGCCACCGTGATGATGATGAGAGAGATAAACGCAATCTCCAAATATACAGCAGCAGGCGTCAGGGTCGGGATCGAATCCACGACCTCCTGTATACCAGGCGAGGTAGTTGACATCTCCTAGCCACCGTGATGATGATGATGAGAGAGGCAAACAGGGTGAGGATTGAACCCACGACCTCCTGTACACCAGGCGAGGTAGTTGACATCTCCTAGCCACCGTGATGATGATGATGAGAGATGCAAACAGGGTGAGGATTGAACCCACGACCTCCTGTAGGCCAGGCGAGGTAGTTGACATCTCCTAGCCACCGTGATGATGATGATGAGAGACGCAAACAGGGTGAGGATTGAACCCACGACCTCCTGTAGACCAGGCGAGGTAGTTGACATCTCCTCACCACCATGATGATGATGATGAGAGACGCAACCAGGGTGAGGATTGAACCCACGACCTCCTGTAGATCAGGCGAGGTAGTTGACATCTCCTAGCCGCCATGATAATGATGATGATGAGAGACGCAAACAAGGTGAGGATTGAACCCACGACCTCCTGTACACCAGGCGAGGTAGTTGACATCTCCTCACCACCATGATGATGATGATGATGAGAGACGCAAACAGGGAGAGGATTGAACCCACGACCTCCTGTACACCAGGCGAGGTAGTTGACATCTCCTAGCCGCCATGATAATGATGATGATGAGAGACGCAAACAGGGTGAGGATTGAACCCACGACCTCCTGTACACTTGGCGAGGTAGTTGACATCTCCTAGCCACCGTGATGATGATGATGAGAGATGCAAACAGGGTGAGGATTGAACCCACGACCTCCTGTAGACCAGGCGAGGTAGTTGACATCTCCTAGCCACCCTGATGATGATGATGATGATGAGAGATGCAAACAGGGTGAGGATTGAACCCACGACCTCCTGTACACCAGGCGAGGTAGTTGACATCTCCTAGCCACCGTGATGATGATGATGATGAGAGATGCAAACAGGGTGAGGATTGAACCCACAACCTCCTGTACACCAGGCGAGGTAGTTGACATCTCCTAGCCACCGTGATGATGATGATGATGAGAGACGCAAACAGGGTGAGGATTGAACCCACGATCTCCTGTACACCAGGCGATGTAGTTGACATCTCCTAGCCACCGTGATGATGATGTGAGAGACACAGCAAACTCCAAATATACAGCAACAGGCGTCAGGGTCAGGATCGAACACACGACCTCCTGTAGACCAGGCGAGGTAGTTAACATCTCCTAGCCACCATGATGATGATGATGATGAGAGAGATAGACGCAATCTCCAAATATACAGCAGCAGGCGTCAGGGTCGGGATCGAATCCACGACCTCCTGTGTACCAGGCGAGGTAGTTGACATCTCCTAGCCGCCATGATGATGATGATGATGAGATACGCAAACAGGGAGAGGATTGAACCCACGACCTCCTGTACACCAAGCGAGGTAGTTGACATCTCCTGGCCACCATGATGATAATGATGAGAGACGCAAATAGAGAGAGGATTGAACCCACGACGTCCTGTAGACCAGGCGAGGTAGTTAACATCTCCTAGCCACCATGATGATGATGATGAGAGAGATAGACGCAATCTCCAAATATACAGCAGCAGGCGTCAGGATCGGGATCGAATCCACGACCTCCTGTGTACCAGGCGAGGTAGTTGACATCTCCTAGCCGCCATGATGATGATGATGATGAGATACGCAAACAGGGAGAGGATTGAACCCACGACCTCCTGTACACCAGGCGAGGTAGTTGACATATCCTAGCCGCCGTGATGATGATGATGATGAGAGAGGCAAACAGGGAGAGGATTGAACCCACGACCTCCTGTACACCAGGCGAGGTAGTTGACATCTCCTAGCCGCCGTGATGATGATGATGATGAGATACGCAAACAGGGAGAGGATTGAACCCACGACCTCCTGTACACCAGGCGAGGTAGTTGACATCTCCTCACCACCATGATGATGATGATGATGAGAGACGCAAACAGGGAGAGGATTGAACCCACGACCTCCTGTACACCAGGCGAGGTAGTTGACATCTCCTCACCACCATGATGATGATGATGATGAGAGACGCAAACAGGGAGAGGATTGAACCCACGACCTCCTGTACACCAGGCGAGGTAGTTGACATCTCCTCACCTGAGTGTTCCGCTGTAGGCGCAGGCCACGAAGAGGCCTGGGACGCCAGGGAAATCCCGCAGGATGTCGAGGGTCAAGTAGGGGATGAGCTGCGGATCAACATCATGAGCGTCAACAACATCATCATCAGCAGCAGCATCATCATCATCATCAGCAGCAGCAGCAGCAGCATCATCATCATCAACAGCAGCAGCAGCATCACCAGTGTCATCATCATCAGCAGCATCGTCGTCGGCGTTAGCAGCAGCAGCATCACCAGTGTCATCATCATCAGCATGATCATCATCATCAGCAGGATCATCATCAACAGCATCGTCATCAGCGTTAGCAGCAGCATCACCAGTGTCATCATCATCATCAGCATCGTCATCAGCGTTAGCAGCAGCATCACCAGTGTCATCATCATCATCAGCAGCATCGTCATCAGCGTTAGCAGCAGCATCACCAGTGTCATCATCAGCATGATCATCATCATCATCAGCAGGATCATCATCAGCGTTAGCAGCAACATCACCGATGTCATCATCAGCACGATCATCATCAGCAGCATCCTCATCAGCGTTAGCAGCAGCAGCATCACCAGTATCATCATCATCATCAGGATCATCATCAGCATCATCATCAGCCATCATCATCAGCAACAGCAACAATAGCATCATCTCCATCAACAGCATCATCAGCCATCATCATCAGCATGATGATGATCATCAGCAGGATCATCATCAGCAGCAGGATCATCATCAGCCATCATCATCAGCAACAGCAACAATAGCATAATCTGCATCAACAGCATCATCAGCGGAAGCAGGGTTATTAGGGGGAAAGTTATAGCAGTAGCCAAATGCTCTAAACGCGTGACGTTGATTCTCAACGTGGAGGGGGAAACCGGAAGACATCGAGGAAAGTCCACGCCGCCACGGGGAGAGAGAAACAGAGACGCCACAAACTCCAAATATACAACAGCAGGTGTCAGGGTTGGGGTCGAACTCACGACCTCCTGCATACCAGGCGAGGTAGTTAACATCATCGTCATAAGCGGGGGATTGAGCGTTACCCCCTCCCGCCGTACGCGTGCCCGGGCCATCTCCCACTCTCGTTTAATTGTAGTAATGAAACACATTGTACCAATGCAACACAATTAAACACAATGTACCAATGAAACACATTGTAGCAATGAAACATTGTACAAATTAAAGACAATGAAACACATTGTATCAATGAAACACATTGTATCAATGAAACACATTGAATCAATGAAACATTGTACAAATTAAAGACAATGAAACACATTGTACCAATGAAACACATTGTATCAATGAAACACAATGTACCAATGAAACACATTGTACCAATGAAACAGTGTACAAATTAAAGACAATGAAACACATTGTACCAATGAAACACAATGTATCAATGAAACACATTGTACCAATGAAACATTGTACAAATTAAAGACAATGAAACACAATGTACCAATGAAACACATTGTACCAATGAAACACATTGTACTAATGAAACACATTGTACCAATGATTTAACAGAGGGCGACCTGCAGAGCTCTGGCAATTGTTGGCAGCTGAAGCAACAGCAGAAGCTGAAGCAGAAGCAGCAGCAGCAGATGAAGCAGCAGTTGAAGCAGATGAAGCAGCAGCAGCTGTAGCAGAAGCAGCTGAAGCAGCTGAAGCAGCTGCAGCAGCTGAAGCAGAAGCAGATGAAGCAGCAGCAGCTGAAGCAGCAGCAGCTAAAGCAGCAGCAGCTAAAGCAGCAGCAGCTGTAGCAGCAGCAGCTGAAGCAGCAGCTGCAGCAGCAGCGGCAGCTGCGACGGACCTGGTCAGAAGCGCCAACGATGCCAGCGGTCCAGGGATCGCAGTCGCGGTAGATGGTGAACATGATGAGACCAGAGAGCACGGCGCACGACAGGATGAGCCACAGGCCGAGCAGGTTGTAATACAGAGACCTGCGGCACAACCACAGACACACCCTCAGCAGGCCATGGGGGGGGGGGGGCTTGGGGGGGGGGCAATCCGCTGTCAGCGAGCAACTCCGAAGACCGGCAGGGGTTGCATGCGGTTGGTTTGTGTGGAGTAAAAAAATACAAACACCACGCCCGGCCGCCTTTGTCTCCCCATGTTCATCTTCTTTGGTTCTTTCGGTAAAGTCACGTAGAATGAGAATAAAATAATTAAATTAAATAACACGATAAAATTCTCACGACGTTTCGGCCACAACACAAGTGGCCTTCATCAGGTGAAGGGACTGGACTATCCTCTGGAAGATGAATCCCTGCAGTCACGAAAGCTTTAAATCGAAATCTCCCCATGTTGTTACACACACACACACATTCTGCACAAGGGGCTCACATTGAAGGCTGAGTCGAGCTCGAGGAGGGCCCAAGATACTGGGACTCCTCTACTTACGAGCACTCGACTAACGAACTTTCAGAGACACGAACAAACGTGTCCCCGTGTGTCCAGTTGCGACTGTTCACGATGCTATTGCCTGTCACAAGTCGACTTATGAATAGAAAGAAGATAGCCACTGTAGAGACGTCTCTTGGTAAGTTTTTCAAGAAAGTGGAGAGGAAACACGAACACCAAAGTGGCATCTACATCTATAGAACGTGAAGACCCAGTGGCATCTACATCTACAGAACGTGAAGAACCAGTGGCATCTACACAACGTGAAGAACCAGTGGCGTCTACATCTGCAGAACGTGAAGACCCAGTGGCATCTACATCTGCAGAACGTGAAGAACCAGTGGCATCTATATTGGCAGAACATGAAGAACCAGTGGCTTCTACATTAACAGAACGTGAAGAACCAGTGGCATCTATATCTACAGAACGTGAAGAACCAGTGGCATCTATATTGGCAGAACATGAAGAACCAGTGGCATCTACATCTGCAGAACGTGAAGAACCAGTGGCATCTACATATACAGAACATGAAGACCCAGTGGCATCTATATTGGCAGAACATGAAAAACCAGTGGAATCTACATCTACAGAACGTGAAGAACCAGTGGCATCTACATCTGCAGAACGTGAAAAACCAGTGGCATCTACATCTACAGAACATGAAGACCCAGTGGCATCTATATTGGCAGAACATTTAAAACCAGTGGCATCTACATCTACAGAACGTGAAGAACCAGTGGCATCTACATCTGCAGAACGTGAAGAACCAGTGGCATCTAGATCTGCAGAACGTGAAGAACCAGTGGCATCTACATCTGCAGAACGTGAAGACCCAGTGGCATCTACATCTACAGAACGTGAAGAACCAGTGGCATCTATATTGGCAGAACATGAAGAACCAGTGGCATCTACATTTACAGAACGTAAAGAACCAGTGGTATCTATATCTACAGAACGTGAAGAACCAGTGGCATCTATATTGGCAGAACATGAAGAACCAGTGGCATCTACATCTGCAGAACGTGAAGAACCAGTGGCATCTACATCTACAGAACATGAAGAACCAGTGGCATCTACATATACAGAACGTGAAGAACCAGTGGCATCTACATCTACAGAACATGAAGACCCAGTGGCATCTATATTGGCAGAACATGAAAAACCAGTGGCATCTACATCTACAGAACGTGAAGATCCAGTGGCATCTACATCTGCAGAACGTGAAGAACCAGTGGCATCTACATCTGTAGAACGTGAAGAACCAGTCTACATCTACAGAACATGAAGAACCAGTGGCATCTACATCTGCAGAACGTGAAGAACCAGTGGCATCTACATCTGCAGAACGTGAAGAACCAGTGGCATCTACACCTATAGAAATGAAGAACCAGTGGCATCTATATCTACAGAACGTGAAGAACCAGTGGCATCTACATCTACAGAACATGAAGAACCAGTGGCATCTACATATACAGAACATGAAGACCCAGTGGCATCTATATTGGCAGAACATGAAAAACCAGTGGCATCTACATTTACAGAACGTGAAGAACCAGTGGCATCTACATCTGCAGAACGTGAAGAACCAGTGGCATCTACATCTACAGAACATGAAGACCCAGTGGCATATATATTGGCAGAACATGAAAAACCAGTGGCATCTACATCTACAGAACGTGAAGATCCAGTGGCATCTACATCTGCAGAACGTGAAGAACCAGTCTACATCTACAGAACATGAAGAACCAGTGGCATCTACATCTGCAGAACGTGAAGAACCAGTGGCATCTACATCTGCAGAACGTGAAGAACCAGTGGCATCTACACCTACAGAAATGAAGAACCAGTGGCATCTACATCTACAGAACATGAAGAACCAGTGGCATCTACATATACAGAACATGAAGACCCAGTGGCATCTATATTGGCAGAACATGAAAAACCAGTGGCATCTACATTTACAGAACGTGAAGAACCAGTGGCATCTACATCTGCAGAACGTGAAGAACCAGTGGCATCTACATCTGCAGAACGTGAAGAACCAGTGGCATCTACATCTACAGAACATGAAGACCCAGTGGCATCTATATTGGCAGAACATGAAAAACCAGTGGCATCTACATCTACAGAACGTGAAGATCCAGTGGCATCTACATCTGCAGAACGTGAAAAACCAGTGGCATCTACATCTGCAGAACGTGAAGAACCAGTCTACATCTACAGAACATGAAGAACCAGTGGCATCTACATCTGCAGAATGTGAAGAACCAGTGGCATCTACATCTGCAGAACATGAAGAACCAGTGGCATCTACAAATACAGAAATGAAGAACCAGTGGCATCTACATCTACAGAACATGAAGAATCAGTGCCACCGCCAAATGCACTCACAGCTTTGCTTGTCGCAGGCTGCGGCAGGAGATGTAGCGCTGCACTTGGGACTGGTTGACGCCGTAGATGCTCGTCCAGGTGAACGTTCCGCCCACGATGATCGTCCAGAACGTGTGGCGGCGCCGTGGGTCCGGGTCGAAACTGGCGCGGGTGGGGAGGGCGAGGGGGAGGGAGGTGCCGAGGCGGACAAGAAGGGGATGGACAACGGTGTGTGGAGCAATGAGCGGTGGACAGTCGGATTAATGAAATTTGATGGTTTGGCAATGAGGATTGGACGATGCTTAGAGGTCGGTAGCGATGGGGGTGGATATTTGCGAGGTGGACTTAGAGGTGGATAAACGATGGGTGGAGAATAAGATGTGGGCACGTTGATGGGTGGTCAATCGGAGGTGGACATTGGTCGGTGGGCAACTATGGGTGAACAATGAGAGGTGGACAATAACGGGTGTACAGGGTGGTGGTCAAGCAACGGGTGGATAGCAACGGGTGGGAACCTCTAAAGGTGGACAATGGGCAGAGGGGCATGTTTCAATCGACTCACTAATGTAGGAGGTTAGCTTCACCTCGAGAGAAACCGCCAAACAAAGACAAAGATCCCCCGTGTAGCGTTAACAGGCTGTTGGGGCAAGTGTTGTTAGCGAGCACCTAAGCCGGCCGGCGCTGCACACGAGGGTGGGTTTGTGGTCAACACCACGCCCGGCCGCCTTTGTCTCCCCAGTGGCGATGTATTTACACACCACACCAGGTACTCAATTGAGGCTGAGTCGATCTAGGGCAGGCCCAGGATCGGTTCAGATAATCGTCGACGGTGTTGGCCAGGGAAATCACCGTCACCACCGTCAAAGACAAAGATCCTCTGTGTAGCCTGAACAGAACTGCTGTAAGCGAGCACCACCTATGAAGGCCGGCACGGCACACGAGGGGGGTGGGTGGGCCAGCACCACACCCGACCGCCTTTGTCTCCCCAAACGGCGATGTTTACTACACACCGCACCGGGTAACTCATTTGAGGCTGAGTCCACCTAGGGGAGGCCCAAGACCGGCTTAAATAATCGTCACCGGTGTTGGCCGTGAGCGGAAATCGATGTCGGGTCGCCGGGTTCCCATCGCAGCATAGCGCTAACCGCTGCACCACCGCTCCCAGCACCGCCACGCGGGGGGGGGGGGGGTGGGATAACGATCGAGGCGCCGCACGGATGGATTTTCTCACTCGAGGAGGTTGAGGCGGCCGCCCTCGGAGGAAACGTTGAACACGTGACCCAGGTCGCCCACCACGACGACTCCGCGCACGATGACCGACGCGAAGCCGGCCACCATGATGCCCACCTGGAAGACGTCGGTCCACACCACGGCCTTGAGGCCTCCCTGGCAGGAGGGGGGGAGGGGGGAGGGGGGAGAAGGGGGTCGCACGGCGTGGCCTTTCAGAATCGCCGCTCCGGTCGTATCACCCGCCTGTCCGTCCACTCACCCACTCACCCATCCACTCATCCATCCATCCACACATTCACTCACCCATCCACACATTTACTCACCCACCCAATCACCGAAACACCCATCCATCCACTCACCCACCCAACCATCCACTCGCCCATCCACACATTCAATCACCCACTCATCCAATTACCCACTCATCCATCCACTCACCCACCCACCTATCCACTCAACCATCCATCCACTCACCTACCCACCCATACACTCACCCATCTACGCACCCACCCACTCACCCACCCATCCATTCACCCACCCACCCATCCACGCACCCACCCACCCATCCACGCACGCACCCACCCATCCACGCACGCACCCACCCATCCACTCACCCACCCAGCTATCCACTCACTTACCCACCCACCCATACACACACCGTTCCACCAACCTACCCACCGATCTACCAACCCACCTATTAGCCGACCCACTCATCTACCCACACACATTATCATCCACTCACTCATCCACCTGCCCACCCATTCATCCACCTACCTAGTCACCCACCCACTCACTGATCTATGAACCCACCCTCTGATCCACTGACCCACCCATTAAAAGACCCACTCATCTTTCCACATTCTCATCCAGCCACGTACCCATCTACCCATTCATCCACCCACCCACCCACCTATCCCCCCCACTCACCCATCCACCCACACACCCATTAATCGATGCACCCACTCATCTGCTCACCCACCCACCTACCAAAACCACTCGTCCACCCACATTCTCATCCATCCACTCATCCACCCACCGATCCACCGAGGATGATGGGTGATGGTGATAGTGATAGGTGATGGTGACAGTAATGAGTGATGGTGATAGTGATGGTGATAGTGATGGGTGATAGCGATGGGTGATGGTGATAGTGATGGTGATAGTGATGGGTGATAGTGATGGTGATAGTGATGGGTGATGGTGATGAGTGATGGTGATAGTGATGGGTGATGGTGATAGTGATGAGTGATGGTGATAGTGATGAGTGATGGTGATAGTGATGAGTGATGGGCGATGGTGATGGTGCTGAGTGATGGTGATGAGTGATGGTGATAGTGATGAGTGATGATGCTGATTGATGGTGATGAGTGATGGTGATGGTGATAGTGATTAGTGATGAGTGATGGTGATAGTGATGGGTGATGAGTGGTGGGTGATGGTGATAGTGATGGGTAAAGGTTGATGGTGATAGTGATGGTGATAGTGATGGTGATGAGTGATGGTGATAGTGATGAGTGATGGTGATAGTGATGGTGATAGTGATGGTGATGAGTGATGGTGATGGTGATAGTGATGGGTGATGAGTGGTGGGTGATGGTGATGGTGATGAGTGATGGGTGATGGTGATAGTGATGGGTAAAGGTTGATGGTGATAGTGATGGTGATAGTGATGGTGATGAGTGATGGTGATAGTGATGAGTGATGGTGACAGTGATGAGTGATGGTGATAGTGATGAGTGATGGGTAGCGGGCGATGGTGATGAGTTATGGTGGTAGTGATGAGTGAGGGGTGATGGTGATGAGTGATGGTGATGAGTGATGGTGATGGTGATAGTGATGAGTGATGGTGATGGGTGATGATGATGGTGATGAGTGATGGTGATGAGTGATAGTGATGAGTGATGGTGATAGTGATGGTGACAGTGATGAGTGATGGTGATGGGTGATGGTGATGAGTGATGGTAATGGTGATGAGTTATAGTGATGAGTGGTGGTGATAGTGATGGTGATGAGTGATAGTGATGGGTGATGGTGATAGTGATGGGTGATGGTGATAGTGATGGTGATGGGTGATGGTGATAGTGATGGTGATAGTGATGGGTAATAGTGATGGGTGATGGTGATGGTGATAGTGATGGTGATTGGTGATGGCGATAGTGATAGTGATGGGTGATGGTGATGGGTGATGGTGATGAGTGATGGTAATGAGTGATAGTGATGGGTGATGGTGATGGTGATAGTGATGGGTGATGGTGATAGTGATGGTGATGGGTGATGGTGATAGTGATAGTGATGGGTGATAGTGATGGGTGATGGTGATGGTGATAGTGATGGTGATGGGTGATGGTGATAGTGATGGTGATAGTGATGGGTGATGGTGATGAGTGATGGTGATAGTGATGGGTGATGGTAATGGTGATGAGTGATGGTGATGGGTAATGGTGATGGTGATGAGTGATGGTGATGGTGATGGATGATGGTGATAGTGATGGTGATGAGTGATGGTGACAGTGATAAGTGATAGTGATGGTGATGAGTGATGGTGATAGTGATGGTGATATTGATGAGTGATGGTGATAAGTGATGGTGATGAGTGATGGTGATGGTGATGAGTGATGGTGATAGTGATGAGTGATGGTGATAGTGATGAGTGATGGTGATGGGTGATGGGTGATGGTGATGGTGATAGTGATGGGTGATGGTGATAGTGATGGGTGATGGTGATGAGTGATGGGTGATGGTGATAGTGATGGGTGATGGTGATAGTGATGGTGATGGGTGATGGTGATGGTGACAGTGATGGTGATGGGTGATGGCGATGGGTGATGGTGATAGTGATGGGTGATGGTGATAGTGATGAGTGATGGTGATGATTGATGAGTGATGGGTGATAGTGATGGGTGATGGGTGATGGTGATAGTGATGGGTGATGGTGATGGTGACAGTGATGGGTGATGGTGATGGGTGATGGTGATAGTGATGGGTGATGGTGATGGTGATAGTGATGGTGATGAGTGATGGTGATGGGTGATAGTGATGGGTGATGGGTGATGGGTGATGGTGATGGGTGATGGTGATATTGATGGGTGATGGTGATAGTGATGGGTGATGGTGATGGTGATAGTGATGGGTGATGGTGATACTGATGAGTGATGGTGATGGTGATGAGTGATGGTGGTAGTGATGAGTGATGGGCGATGGTGATGAGTGATGGGCGATGGTGATGGTGCTGAGTGATGGTGATGAGTGATGGTGATAGTGATGGTGATGAGTGATAGTGATGAGTGATGGTGATGGTGCTCACCATGGTGCAGTAGAAAGTGCAAATGATGCCGGTCGACACAACGGCACCCCACAAATCAAACCCCGTCACTGGAGAAAGACAACAACAACATGAACACCCATCACGAGAACCACAACGTGAACCAACAACAACCACAACGTCAAACACAACAACATCACCCACCACGATCGTAGGTCTTTCCCCTTTTTTCTGGCAACAAAACAGCTTGAATTCTTGTTCTTTCGGTAAAGTCACGTTGAAGGGAAACAATAAAATAATAATACATATGAAACAATAAAATTCTCACGACGTTTCGACTGTAATGCAAATAGTCATCATCAGGTGTGAAAAAACAAATTTTCTTGCCGTTGGTTTTTCACACCTGATGATGACTGTTTGCATTACAGACGAAACGTCGTGAGAATTTTATTGTTTAATATATATTATTATTTTATTGTTTCCCTTCAACGTGACTTTACCGAAAGAACCAAGAATATGAATCACTGCAGTCACGAAAGCTTTAAATCAAAACAGCTTGTGTTAAGATGATAAAACACCAAACTGAAACCTTTTTTACAAAGAATCACATCACTGCATTGACCACAACGCTTGTGGTCAGAATGCAAACAAAAAAACATACACTCTGATAATACGATGCATTGTCCTTGTAAGTGATTGGTTCGCATCAGAGACGGCTTTCTTTTGAGCCTCGTCTCAAACGTCGCTAGGCCAGAGGACGCCCAATGGAGACGAGGCTCTAAAGAAAGCCGTCTCTGGTGTGGACCAATCGGTTTCAAAAACAATGCCATTATTTATTATCAGAGTGCTGTTTTTTATGTTTGCATTCTGACCACAAGCATTGTGGTTAATGCAGTGACGTGATTCCTCCTAAAAAAAGGTTTCAGTTTGGTGTTTTAACATCTTAACACAGCTGTTTTGTTGCCAGAAAAAAGGGGAAAAACCTACGTTCATATTTTGGTTACTGGCAAAGGAGATCCAATGATGTCGATGAACACCTACCACGTGGCCACACCGTGAAACAGCAACCACCACGTGACCACAACGTGAACCAACAACCACCACGTGGCCACAACGTGAACCAACAACCACCACGTGACCACAACGTGAACCAACACCCACCACGTGACCACAACGTGAACCAACAACCACCACGTGGCCACAACGCGAACCAACACCCACCACGTGACCACAACGTGAACCAACAACCACCACGTGACCACAACGTGAACCAACACCCACCACGTGGCCACAACGTGAACCAACAACCACAACGCGAACCACAACGTGAACCAACACCCACCACGTGACCACAACGTGAACCAACAACCACCACGTGACCACAACATGAACGAACACCCACCACGTGACCACAACGTTAACCAACAAAGACAACAGCGAACCACGTCAACCAACAACCACCACGTGACCACAACGTGAACCAACAACCACAACATCAACCAGAACAACAACAACCACAACAACACCCACAACCGTGAACCGCAACGTGAACCACCACAACAACCACAGCAACATCCACCACGTGACCACAACGTGAACAACAACCACAACGCGAACCACAACGTGAACTAACAACTTCAACGCGAGCCACAACAACAGCAACAACAACGTCGACCACAGCGTCAACCACAACAACACCCACCACACGAACCACAACGTGAACCAACAACCACAACAACAGCAACAACAACGTCGACCACAACGTCAACCACAACAACCACCACAACCAGAACGTCAACTACAAGGCGTGAGTGTTAGAGGCGCCCTGACGTCACAGTGTGGGTCACCTTGATTCAGAGCCAGAGCCGGAGCGAAGATCACGATGCCCGTGTACAGCGTCTGTGAAGAAGATAGCGACTTCAATTGGTTCTTTCGATGAAGTCACGTAGAATGAGAATAAAATAAAATGATAAAATAAATAATAAAATAAAATAACGCAATAAAATTCTCACGACGTTTCGGCCACAACACAAGCAGCCTTCTTCGGGTGAAAGAACATAACTGTCGGGACGACAGAGCTTCAATTAACGCTGCTAAGATTCGTAGCGTCTTTTTAAGCTCGGTGAGAGGCGCGGCTAGCCTTGACAAAGGACTTTACATATCAGAGCAGGATAATTTAGCATTGAAATAGTCGAGGGATTAGCTTGTGACAGAAATAGCAGTGTTAAAGTCAAAGTGTACATATCCACAGAAGCATTTAGTATATGGACGCTAAAGGCCTCCAATTGCCAACTATTATAAAGTAAACCATAGCGTCTTTTAAGCTCGGTGAGAAGCGTGAAGAGCCTTGACAAAGGAGTTTACATATCAGAGCAGGAGAATTTAGCATTGAAATAGTCGAGGGATTAGCTTGTGACAGAAATAGCTGTGTTAAAGTCAAAGTTTACATATCAACAGAGGGTTCAGTGTCAATTCAAGCGACTGAGCCAGACTAAGGCTCCCCTAGGGTTCAGTGTCAATTCAAGCGACTGAGCCAGACTAAGGCTCCCCATGGGTTCAGTGTCAATTCAAGCGACTGAGCCAGACTAAGGCTCCCCTAGGGTTCAGTGTCAATTCAAGCGACTGAGCCAGACTAAGGCTCCCCTAGGGTTCAGTGTCAATTCAAGCGACTGAGCCAGACTAAGGCTCCCCTAGGGTTCAGTGTCAATTCAAGCGACTGAGCCAGACTAAGGCTCCCCTAGGGTTCAGTGTCAATTCAAGCGACTGAGCCAGACTAAGGCTCTCCATGGATTCAGTGTCAATTCAAGCGACTGAGCCAGACTAAGGCTCCCCTAGGGTTCAGTGTTAATTCAAGCGACTGAGCCAGACTAAGGCTCCCCTAGCGTTCAGTGTCAATTCAGGCGACTGAGCCAGACCAAGGCTCCCCTAGGATTCAGTGTCAATTCAAGCGACTGAGACAGACTAAGGCTCCCCTAGGGTTCAGTGTCAATTCAAGCGACTGAGCCAGAGTAAGGCTCCCCTAGGGTTCAGTGTCAATTCAAGCGACTGAGTCAGACTAAGGCTCCCCATGGGTTCAGTGTCAATTCAAGCGACTGAGCCAGACTAAGGCTCCCCTAGGGTTCAGTGTCAATTCAAGCGACGGAGCCAGACTAAGGCTCCCCTAGGGTTCAGTGTCAATTCAAGCGACTGAGCCAGACTAAGGCTCCCCTTGGGTTCAGTGTCAATTCAAGCGACTGAGCCAGACTAAGGCTCCCCATGGGTTCAGTGTCAATTCAAGCGACTGAGCCAGACTAAGGCTCCCCTAGGGTTCAGTGTCAATTCAAGCGACGGAGCCAGACTAAGGCTCCCCATGGGTTCAGTGTCAATTCAAGCGACTGAGCCAGAGTAAGGCTCCCCTAGGGTTCAGTGTCAATTCAAGCGACTGAGCCAGACTAAAGCTCCCCATAGGTTCAGTGTCAATTCAAGCGACTGAGCCAGACTAAGGCTCCCCTAGGGTTCAGTGTCAATTCAAGCGACTGAGCCAGAGTAAGGCTCCCCTAGGGTTCAGTATCAATTCAAGCGACGGAGCCAGACTAAGGCTCCCCTAGGGTTCAGTGTCAATTCAAGCGAATGAGCCAGACTAAGGCTCCCCTAGGGTTCAGTGTCAATTCAAGCGACTGAGCCAGACTAAGGCTCCCCTAGGGTTCAGTGTCAATTCAAGCGACGGAGCCAGACTAAGGCTCCCCTAGGGTTCAGTGTCAATTCAAGCGACGGAGCCAGACTAAGGCTCCCCATGGGTTCAGTGTCAATTCAAGCGACTGAGCCAGAGTAAGGCTCCCCTAGGGTTCAGTGTCAATTCAAGCGACTGAGCCAGACTAAGGCTCCCCATGGGTTCAGTGTCAATTCAAGCGACTGAGCCAGACTAAGGCTCCCCTAGGGTTCAGTGTCAATTCAAGCGACTGAGCCAGAGTAAGGCTCCCCTAGGGTTCAGTGTCAATTCAAGCGACTGAGCCAGACTAAGGCTCCCCATGGGTTCAGTGTCAATTCAAGCGACTGAGCCAGACTAAGGCTCCCCATGGGTTCGGTGTCAATTCAAGCGATTGAGCCAGACTAAGGCTCCCCATGGGTTCAGTGTCAATTCAAGCGACTGAGCCAGACTAAGGCTCCCCTAGGGTTCAGTGTCAATTCAAGCGACGGAGCCAGACTAAGGCTCCCCATGGGTTCAGTGTCAATTCAAGCGACTGAGCCAGAGTAAGGCTCCCCTAGGGTTCAGTGTCAATTCAAGCGACTGAGCCAGACTAAGGCTCCCCATGGGTTCAGTGTCAATTCAAGCGACTGAGCCAGACTAAGGCTCCCCTAGGGTTCAGTGTCAATTCAAGCGACGGAGCCAGACTAAGGCTCCCCTAGGGTTCAGTGTCAATTCAAGCGACTGAGCCAGACTAAGGCTCCCCTAGGGTTCAGTGTCAATTCAAGCGACTGAGCCAGACTAAGGCTCCCCTAGGGTTCAGTGTCAATTCAAGCGACTGAGCCAGACTAAGGCTCCCCATGGGTTCAGTGTCAATTCAAGCGACTGAGCCAGACTAAGGCTCCCCTAGGGTTCAGTGTCAATTCAAGCGACTGAGCCAGACTAAGGCTCCCCATGGGTTCAGTGTCTATTCAAGCGACTGAGCCAGACTAAGGCTCCCCTAGGGTTCAGTGTCAATTCAAGCGACTGAGCCAGACTAAGGCTCCCCTAGGGTTCAGTGTCAATTCAAGCGACTGAGCCAGACTAAGGCTCCCCTAGGGTTCAGTGTCAATTGAAGCGACTGAGCCAGACTAAGGCTCCCCATGGGTTCAGTGTCTATTCAAGCGACTGAGCCAGACTAAGGCTCCCCATGGGTTCAGTGTCAACGGCACCGTGGCCGGAACCCGTGGTGGAGATGCGCGTGGGGGATGGTGGGGGTCTTGGCTGGGTGTGCGAATCGCTGTTGTTGGTCGTTCCACCCTACCGGTTGTAACAATTAACCCACCAGCCGTCGCTACGTGTGAGACGACGGTGGCGATGTTGCTGGTGGTTACTTTGATAAACAATAAACAAAAGGCAAAGATTACTCAGCCCCCCCCCGCCCCGCATAGCCTGTAGCAGACTGTTGGGGCAAGTGCTGTTAGCGAGTAGCATCAGCTATGAAGGCCGGCACGGCACACGAGGGAGTGGGTGGCCAGCACCACGTCCGACCGCCTTTGTCTGGCTGCGATGTTTACACATCGCACCAGGTTACTCGTTTGAGGCTGAGTCGACCTAGGGGAGGCCCAGAACCTGTGTTGGTCGTGAGCGGGAATCGAACTCGGGCCGCCGAGTTCGTAGCGCACCGTGCAGACCACTACACTACCGCTCACATATAGGACTCACCACTGTGATCTCTACATTGGGTCAAACTTAACATCTCTTAATGTTCGACGGCTTGTGCACCAGATCTTATTTATTCACGATGTACTTACAAAAAATCCGCAGACTACCTGCTGGATCTCCTCTCTGTTTCAAAGAACAAATTTGACCTCAGGTCGTCGCTCATTTACCAGCTTCACATTCCCTATTGCCGTACAAAAACTGGAGGAAGGGCCTTTGCTATTGATGCCCCCAGGGTCTGGAATGCTATTGCCAATAAACTGCAACTTGAATCGCTACCAATGAGATCTTCTCTCAAAACTGCTCTAGAGGAGTTGTACACCCCTAGCTGCCACTGCTATTCATTGGCGTAAAATAAAATAAAATGTTTCACTCCAGATGACGCTGCAAAGTATTATCTGTATTTTGATTTAGCGTGCTGATCTTAAAGGTGCATTGAAAAATTTGATACCCCGACTGATGCTTCTGTTAAATTTAAATTTAAAGCTTTCGTGACTGCAGTAATTCATATTCTTAGCTCTTTCGGTAAAGTCACTTTACCGAAAGAGCTAAGAATATGATGCTTCTGTTGTTCTGGAGTAACTCATGCAACCAGCTATGGCTCTAGGATTTGGTGTTGCATGTTATTTATGTAGTTTATTGTAAAAATTCGGTCACAGTCCCTATGATCACTGTTACGTTGCATTTATGGCTTTATTTTTTGGTGATTTCGAAAACGTTTTTTTGGTTTGGACATGTTTGTTTTGTTGTAGTACGGAGTTAGACTGATGGCCTTAATCTAAGTTTTCTTGTGGTTGTTGTTGTTTGACTTGCATCCCACTGGGATTTTTTGCACACAGCGTTGGTGTACGCTGCTATTTCAGGCATATTTTGCTGGGTTTTTTCATGGATTTTCTGTTTGCACAGTCACATAGTGACTTTAAGATGTTTTTCTTGTTCGTGTTTTTGTTTTTTTGTTTGTTGTGGTTGCACCCGATTCAAGAGCCGAATGTCTCACAGGGCTATACCAAAATAAATAAACTGAACTGATCTTTACGTGAATTATCATCACCATCATCATCACCATCATCACCACCATCATCATCATCATCACCATCATCACCATCATCACCACCATCATCATCACCACCATCATCACCACCATCATCACCATCATCACCACCACCATCATCACCACCATCATCACCACCATCATCATCACCACCACCATCATCATCACCATCATCACCATCGTCGCCATCATCTCGTATCCTGAGTGACTCATCACCACCATCATCACCACCATCATCACCACCATCATCACCACCATCATCACCACCATCATCACCACCATCATCACCACCATCATCACCACCACTATCATCATCGTCATCATATCGCACCGTCTGGATGATGTAGATGAAGGTGCCTGCGAGTCGCACGGTCTTGTTGAAGCGCTTCTCCAGGTACTGATGCGCGCGCCACACGACACAACATCACCACCATCATCACCACCATCATCATCACCGTCACCACCGTCAAAGACAAAGATCCCCCGTGTAGCCTGTAACAGACTGCTGGGGCAAGTGCTGTTAGCGAGCAGCACCTATGAAGGCCGGCACGGCACACGAGGGGGGTGGGTGGCTAGCACCACACCCGACCGCCTTTGTATCCCCAGCGGCGATGTTTACTACACACCGCACCGGGTAACTCATTTGAGGCTGAGTCCACCTAGGGGAGGCCCAAGACCGGTTTAAATAATCGTCACCGGTGTTGGCCGTGAGCGGAAATCGACGTCGGGTTGCAGGGTTCGTAGTGCAGTGCGCCAACTGCTCCGACACGACCACTCGCCACACCAAAAAAAAACAAAAGATCCCCCAGTGTAGCCTTCACAGACTGTTGGGGCAAGTGCTGTTAGCGAGCAGCACCATCACCACCACCATCACCAGCAGCACCTCCTGCTGCTGCTGCTGCGATGGTGGTGGTGATGGGTGACGTGGCAGACCATGACGAGTTACGGATGATTGAAGGATCGTGATTGGTCATGGTGTTCGAGGTTATGATGGAGAATTTGTGGTGGTGGTAGTGCTTGTGGTGTTAAATGTGTGATGGATGGTTGACGGATCGTGGTTGGTGGCAGTCGTGGTGAAGTTGATGAAACTGAGGTTTCCTCCGAGTGACAGTGAAGATTCGACTGATGATTACGCTCTTGCTAATTGTGCTGCTCATGATGATGATGATGACTCATGCTGCTGCTGATAAAGATGATGCCTCTGTCGCTGCTGATGCGTCTGCTGAAGACGTTAATGATTATGTTGTTGATATGGTGGTGATGATGATGCTTCTGCTCTTGATTCTACCAATACCGCTCATGGTGAATGCATCCGTATGATGACAGTTATGATACATCAGCTGCTGCTGATGATGATGATGAATGATGATGACGCTGCTTCTGCCGATGACGATCATAGCGATGAAGATTCTACCGATAATACAAAGCCTGAACATGATTCCTCAGCGACACTGCGTGTGGCACTTTAAAGTAAAACATAATATCTGACGTTTCAGGCAAATGGCCCTTTATAGGTAAAATGGATGGATGCGCTACGAAGTGATGGATTAGTGCTTTGGAACCATTTGCTCTGACGAAGGGCCGTTTCCCGAAACGTCACATATTAAACGTCACTTTGTTTCGGCAACACGGTGCCGTGATTGGCACGGGCCAATCACACTACCATACTGATCATCACATTGATCACCGTCATCGTGATCATCATCGTGATCACCGTCACAATGATCATCATCTTGATCATCATCATCATGATCACCATCATAATAATCATTATCCTGATCAGCGTCATAATGATCATCATCATGATGACAATCACCATCGTAATGATGAGCATCCTGATCGTCATAATGATCAGCATGATGACGACGACCATGATCGCCATCATAACGATCATCATCCTGATCATCATCATCAGCAGCGTCATCGTTATCATGTAGCTGACGTTCAATTTGCCACGCGCCTGATGAACTAACGACTCCCCTCCACTCGATCAAGATGATGATCATTGTGACGGCGATCTATATATTGATCAGTATGGTGGTGATCGTAATCATGATCGTCATCAGTCGGCAAATTATTTGGTGACGCCGCCGCCGCCGCTGCTGCTGCGTTGGAAGCAGCAGCAGCAGCAGCACAAACAAGGAATACACTCAACACGTGACGTTTCATAGGTGACGTTTCGGGAAACGGCCCTTCTTCAGAGCAAATGGTTCCAAAGACCTAATCCATCCCTTCGTAGCACAACCACATGGTGGTGACCATCATCATGATCGTCATAGATTTGAAGCTTTCGCGACTGCAGGAATCCATAGTCTTTGCGTCTTTCGGTAGAGCCACGTGGGTAGAAAACAAAATAATAAATAATAATAAAAAACAAATCACGACGTTTCGATTGCAACACAAGCAATCATCATCAGGTGGGAAAACCACAGCAAAAAATAAAAATCTTGCCGTGGTTTTCCCACCTGATGACGATTGCTTGTGTTGCAATCGAAACGTCGTGATTTGTTTTTTTCATATATATATACCTACGTGACTTTACCGAAAGAACCAGAGAGCAATGAGCGTCATCTGATGAAGGCACCGATATCGCGTTCGACGACGATCGATTCCACAAGGTGTGGGAGGAGTGGGGGTGGGTGGGTGGGGTGGGGTTGGTCGCCAAACCTCGTTGGTGCTGGTGATGCCCAGGCGGTAGAAGACGGGCAGATAGATCTCGGCGGTGACTACCACCACCACGCCGTAGGTCACTCCGAAAATCCAGAACATCGCCCCGTAGCAGTACACCTCGGCCGGTGTGCCCAGCACCGTCACAGCCGACATGAAGCTCGCGGTGAGCGACAGGGCTACGGGCACGGCCCCCATCTGCCGCCCGCCCGTCAGGAACTCCTCCGTGCTCTGTTGGCCACGGGCTACCACGGCGTAGTAGACGCCGATCGACGCCGAGATGAGCAGCATGGCCGCGAACACCAGGTAGTCCCACACCACGAACGAGCCAACCGCTGGCGACATTGGTGGTGGTGGTGGAGGTGGTGGTGGTAGAGGTGGTTGTGGTGGAGGTGGTGGTGGTGGTGGTGGAGGTGGTGGTGGTGGTGGTGCTAACGATGGTGGAGGTTCGAGGTGGTAGTGAAGGTAGTGGTGATGGAGGTGGTGGAGGTGGAGGCGGTGGTGGTGGTAGAGGTGGTTGTAGTGGTGGTGGTGGTGTAGGTGGTAGAGGTGGTGGTGCTAACGATGGTGGAGGTTCGAGGTGGTAGTGAAGGTAGTGGTGATGGAGGTGGTGGAGGCGGTGGTGGTGGTGGTGGTAGAGGTGGTTGTGGTGGAGGTGGTGTAGGTGGTGGAGGTGGTGGTGCTAACGATGGTGGAGGTGGTAGTGAAGGTGGTGGTGATGGAGGTGGTGGAGGTGGAGGCGGTGGTGGAGGTGGTAGAGGTGGTTGTGGTGGAGGTGGTGTAGGTGGTGGTGGAGGTGGTGTAGGTGGTGGTGGTGGAGGTGGTGGTGCTAACGGTGGTGGAGGTGGTAACGGTGGTGGTGGTGATAACGGCGGTGGAGGAGGAGGTGGTGCTAAAGGTGGTAGTGTGAACGGTGGTGGTGGTGGTGATGACGGTGGTTTCAGAAGACTTCAGAGCTGTGATGTGATATGTGAGCTGATGTCAGATGTGAGCTGATGTGAGATGTGAGCAGATGTCAGATGTGAGCTGATGTGAGATGTAGATCCGATGCTTGGTGACGCCTTGGACTCGCAGCTTTCACTCAACGCGGATTATCTCATCGGGTGAAGTCAGGGCAACAGTTGAGATGATTTTTTTCCCCGTTCGAAATTCGAAATCGATTTATTTTTTGAAGAAGAAGAGCCTCAAAATAAAACGACGCAATGCGGCGTCTGCGACCGCGGATAAGTGGGGGCAGTGGAATCTCGTCTCGAATTCCTCCGAGTAAAAATAATAAATAAATCAAAATAAACCACCGGGAGTGAGTTCCCGTGGAACTCAACAAACGTGAGTTCGCCTCCTCTGCGATTCCCCGAGGAACCGGGGCGAAATTCTCCCCCGCCCCCCCCCCCCCCCCCCCCCCCCTGGCCGAACTTCCCAAATCCGCGACTTGACACGCGGTTAGCAGAGCGAGATGACGAGGAGGACGGAGTGAGTGAGGAGCGTGGAGGGAGTGAGGAGCGAGGAATGAGTGAGGAGCATGGAGTGAGTGAGGAGCGAGGAATGAGTGAGGAGCGTGGAGGACGGAGTCAGTGAGGAGTGTGGAGGGAGTGAGGAGTGAGTGAGGAGCGTGGAGGGAGTGAGGAGTGAGTGAGGAGCGTGGAGGGAGTGAGGAGTGAGGAGTGAGAGAGGAGCGAGGAGTGAGTGAGGAGCGTGGAGTGAGTGAGGAGGGAGTGAGTGAGGAGCGTGGAGTGAGTGAAGAGCGTGGAGGTAGTAAGGAGCGATGAGTGATTAAGGAGCGAGGAGTCAGTGAGGAGCGAGGAGTGAGTGAAGAGCGAGGAGTCAGTGAGGAGCGAGGAGTGAGTGAGGAGCGTGGAGCGAGGAGTGAGTGAGGAGCGAGGAGTGAGTGAGGAGCGTGGAGCGAGGAGTGAGTGAGGAGCGAGGAGTGAGTGAGGAGCGAGGAGTGAGTGAGGAGCGTGTAGGTAGTAAGGAGCGTGGAGCGAGGAGTGAAGAGCGAGGAGGTAGTAAGGAGCGAGGAGTGAGTGAGGAGCGAGGAGTGAGTGAGGAGCGAGGAGTGAGTGAGGAGCGAGGAGTGAGTGAGGAGCGTGTAGGTAGTAAGGAGTGAAAAGCGAGGAGGTAGTAAGGAGCGAGGAGGTAGTAAGGAGTGAGTGATTGGAAGCGGCGCTTACAACTCTTTTTTTATACGGCCGCGAGCGCTCGAAGCGTGGCCCGAGTGTGGCCCTGTGGAGTGTGACCGTGAGAAGTTGTGAGTGTTTGGCTGGGTGGCGATGGAGGAGGAGGAGGAAGAGGAGGAGGAGGGGGCAGGGAGCGGAGGCTCGCGAGGTGTCGACGCTGTTCGCTCGAGTGCTTACAGGGCGAGAAAAGGTCACGAACGGTAGCGGCCTCTGTTCAATCATTGCCCCCTCCACCCACCCCACCCACCCCACCCACTCCACCCACCCCACCCCACTGATTTCTGTCTGTTTCGTCTCTGCTCTGATTTCTGTCTGATCGTCTCTGCTCTGATTTCTGTCTTATCGTATCTGCTCTGATTTCTGTCTGATCGTCTCTGCTCTGATTTCTGTCTGATTCGTCTCTGCTCTGATTTCTGTCTGATTCGTCTCTGCTCTGATTTCTGTCTGATCGTCTCTGCTCTGATTTCTGTCTGATTCGTCTCTGCTCTGATTTCTGTCTGATTCGTCTCTGCTCTGATTTCTGTCTGATTCGTCTCTGCTCTGATTTCTGTCTGATTCGTCTCTTCTCTGATTTCTGTCTGATTCGTCTCTTCTCTGATTTCTGTCTGATCGTCTCTGCTCTGATTTCTGTCTGATCGTCTCTTCTCTGATTTCTGTCTGATCGCCTCTGCTCTGATTTCTGTCTGATTTGTCTCTTCTCTGATTTCTGTCTGATTAGTCTCTGCTCTGATTTCTATCTGATTTGTCTCTGCTCTAATTTCTGTCTGATTCGTCTCTGCTCTGATTTCTGTCTGATTCGTCTCTGCTCTGATTTTTATCTGATTCGTCTCTGCTCTGATTTCTGTCTGATTTGTCTCCTCTATGATTTCTGTCTGAGTCGTCTCTGCTCTGATTTCTATCTGATCGTCTCTGCTCTGATTTCTGTCTGATTCGTCTCTGCTCTGATTTCTGTCTGATTCGTCTCGGCTCTGATTTCTGTCTGATTCGTCTCTGCTCTGATTTCTGTCTGATTCGTCTCTTCTCTGATTTCTGTCTGATCGTCTCTTCTCTGATTTCTGTCTGATCGTCTCTTCTCTGATTTCTGTCTGATCGCCTCTGCTCTGATTTCTGTCTGATTTGTCTCTTCTCTGATTTCTGTCTGATTAGTCTCTGCTCTGATTTCTATCTGATTTGTCTCTGCTCTAATTTCTGTCTGATTCGTCTCTGCTCTGATTTCTGTCTGATTCGTCTCTGCTCTGATTTTTATCTGATTCGTCTCTGCTCTGATTTCTGTCTGATTTGTCTCTTCTATGATTTCTGTCTGAGTCGTCTCTGCTCTGATTTCTATCTGATCGTCTCTGCTCTGATTTCTGTCTGATTCGTCTCTGCTCTGATTTCTGTCTGATTCGTCTCTGCTCTGATTTCTGTCTGATTCGTCTCTGCTCTGATTTCTGTCTGATCGTCTCTTCTCTGATTTCTGTCTGATCGTCTCTGCTCTGATTTCTGTCTGATCGCCTCTTCTCTGATTTCTGTCTAATCGTCTCTGCTCTAATTTCTGTCTGATTTGTCTCTTCTCTGATTTCTGTCTGATCGTCTCTGCTCTGATTTCTGTCTGATCGTCTCTGCTCTGATTTCTGTCTGATTTGTCTCTTCTCTGATTTCTGTCTGATCGTCTCTGCTCTGATTTCTGTCTGATTTGTCTCTTCTCTGATTTCTGTCTGATCGTCTCTGCTCTGATTTCTGTCTGATCGCCTCTTCTCTGATTTCTGTCTGATCATCTCTGCTCTGATTTCTGTCTGATTTGTCTCTTTCCTGATTTCTGTCTGATCGTCTCTGCTCTGATTTCTGTCTGATCGTCTCTGCTCTGATTTCTGTCTGATTTGCCTCTTCTCTGATTTCTGTCTGATCGTCTCTGCTCTGATTTCTGTCTGATCGTCTCTGCTCTGATTTCTGTCTGATTCGTCTCTGCTCTGATTTCTGTCTGATTCGTCTCTGCTCTGATTTCTGTCTGATTTGTCTCTGCTCTGATTTATGTCTGATCGTCCCTGCTCTTATTTCTGTCTGATTTGTCTCTGCTCTGATTTCTGTCTGATTTGTCTCTTCTCTGATTTCTGTTTGATCGTCTCTGCTCTGATTTCGGTCTGATTCGTCTCTGCTCTGATTTCTGTCTGATTTGTCTTTTCACTGATTTCTGTCTGATTCGTCTCTTCTATGATTTCTGTCTGATTCGTCTCTGCTCTAATTTTTTTGTCTGGCAGTCTCTGCTCGAATTCATATTTGATCATCTCTGCTCTGACATCTCGACGTTGTGAGCGATCGAGTTGGACGTCCGGTGAACATCGAGCGGGAGAGATATGTAGAACCCCAGTGGTGGTCTCCCAACTCCAACATCCCAGCGTGATGCAGTATGGTCGAATAGCCCTCGTGAAGAAGGAGTGTGATTTCGTGCAGGACTACCAGATTCTTAAACGTACTGCACGAATAGATTCTTAGACTCATTCTTCAGCAAAGGTGTGTGGGGGGAGGGGGGGGGGTGCATCCGATCATCGAGTGGTTGCGTGTGTATGTGTGGGTACACGAGTCGTTATGCGTGTATGACAAAGACAAATTTCACCCGTATAGCCTCCACAGACTGTTTGGGGCAAGTGCTGTTTGGCGAGTAGCACCAATGAAAGCACGGCACGGCGCACAAAGCGGTGGGTGGCCAGCACCCCGCCCGGCCGCCTTTGTCTCCCTAGTAGGCGATGTTTACATGCCCCACCAGGTAATCACTTGAAGCTGATTCGACCTATGGGAGGCCCAGAACCGGTTCAGATATTCGTCACTGGCGTTGGCCGTGAGCGGGAGTCGAACTCGGGTCGCCGGGTTTCGTAGCGCGGCGTAGCGCTAACCGCCACACCACCGCTCCCCCCACACACACACACACAAAGACAAATATCCCCCATATAGCCTTGTTAGATTGTTGGGGCAAGCGCTGTTAGCGAGCACCTGTGAACGCCGGCACGGCACACGGGAAGTTGGGTGGCCAGCACCACGCCCACCAGGTAGTCATTTGAGGCTGAGTCGACCTAGGGGAGGCCCAGGACCGGTTCAGACAATCGTCACCGGTGTTGGCCGTGAGCGAGAATCGAGCTCGGGTCGCCAGGTTCATGTAGCGCAGCGTAGCGTAGCGCTAACCGCTGCACCACCGCT